GGTGTTTAAAGTGAATTTTTACACACTTATTATGAAGAATCACTTCACCATAAAACTGTTTAAAATATCTAACAAACAAAAAACTTCAACTCTTAAATTAAAATTAAATTAAAAATTAAAGTTTCTTAAATCATCATCAGGTCAGATGAAAATATAAAGTTTAACAATATTTAAAAAATAGCATCTAAATGTTGTCAAAGAACCATAAAAATATTAAATAAAACTAAAAATCTTTTTTTTTACTTGTTATTCGATTAGAAACTAAAAGCAGTTCTATCATCAGAACCAAACAGAACCTGTAGAATGTTCTTACCAGGCTGCTTCATCCCGTCCACGTCAGTAAAACCCTGCGCCCTCTCTCAGGTCTTTTTATGTCCAATGTCCAGACGTCCCACAGGACAACTGGTCCCTGAACGCAGCAGAGCTCTGATTGGCTGGAAGATCTTTAAATGAGATGATTTCTGCAGGTTTAATCATCAGGTCGGTGTCAAACTGTTTCTTTATGAGSAGGACAGGATGCTGTGTCCATGTCCAACAGTCACAAAGACAGCTGGACACGTCTGCCATCATCACAGGGACACGTAGAGACACTGACCGTCTCACTCAGAGACAGGTCAGTTAAAGAACCCAACCTGAGTGGTTTTGGTCTGTGGGAGGAAACTGGAGAAAACCCACCAGTGCACGGAGTGATGATGTAAACTCCACACAGAAACTCTATAAAATGAAACATGAAAAGTTTATGTAGATAAAAAAATGTTGCTTGTACTTATTTTTATTAAAATAATTTTTATTATCAGGAAAAAAAACATAATTTTATTTATTACAGCTAATTAATAAAAATCTACAATAACAAGAAAAAGAGTTTTAATCCAAGACAACAGGTTCCACAGGTCTGAATCTTTTAATAAAATAAAAAGTAAAAATCAAAGGTTTCTTGATGTTTCCCTGAGGTCTCTGCTGCTCTTTTGTTGTCGTGTTTTCATGATGTTAACTGGTTCAGAACTGGGAGCAGCTGGTTCCTCTGAGAGCGAAGCTGCACTTTATCTGATCCGTTTATTTCATCTTCACCGTCCGACTCTGAACTGCAGCTGGAGTCACGTCTCTGTCCTCCTGAACCAACATCATCATAAACATCTGGTCCCTCAGAGCAGTTCTGTTCCTCTCTGAAACATCTGGGCTGATGTGCAGCAGTCAGAAGCTTCTGCACATCTATATTCATGTACAGACATATTGTTCAGTAGGCAGAAGGAGATGGGTGAAAATAAAACATTCTGCAGAGAAGAYTTTAACATATTAATAAAAACCTATGAGAACGGAGGAGAAAAATAATACATGTCAACCTATGGGTGCATGTAAGACCTCATTTTGTAATAACAATACCCATCCATCCATCCATCCATCCATCCATCCATCCATCCATCCATCCATCCATCCATCCATCCATCCATCC